TTAGAGTACTCCATAATGACACTTGCTAAATCTGGTGGGGGTACGGGACAATGCACACCACACAGGCTATTCAGAGATGAATCTGGAAGTTCTGCATGGGACCCACTGTGTTTTACACAGCACCAAGTATGGGTTTTTCAACATTAGCTGATTGTATAAAGGTCTGTTCACCAGGGTACATTTAAATAGCACCTTGTTCTTCTAAATTAAATGCTTGATTTCCATCCCTTAAGCTGCCTATTCAAATTAGTTGGGAAACCACAGCATAAAATAGAATCAATTATCCTAATCACCTCACACAGAGCATTTCTTGAACATTGACCATAGCAAACACTACACCATATACTTTCATATGTAAACTCAGTTAATATTTACAACCTTCAAAAGTATATTTTATTATCTCCAATTTTATGAATAAGGAAACTGAGACACTAAGAGTGTCAGGATCCAAACCTAGGCCTGTATGACTTCAAAACTTGCACCTTTTTCAGTAGCTTTTTCCAGTATAGACAGGAGAAAAGTTCATAGACATTTGGTTTTTAGCATGATTCTCTATGGAGGAGATAACAACTACACATAACAATAATTGTTTTAGAACGAGAGAAAGAAAATGTTGGTAGGAAAAAAACAAAAAATAAACGAATAAATCATTTAAATTCAGAAATTGGCTTTGAAGTACAACAAAATCTCAAAATATAAATGAGGCGGTCAAACTGGTACGAAAAAGAAAGAAGAATGTGCCAGATATTTTCAAGAATCAGTTGTAGATTCCGATCTCATAAAAACCCAATAGTATGTACTCTGTTTCTAATCTCTGCTCCAACAACTGCTTACCCTATGACCTTGGGTAAGTCATTAATCTTGCTCTGCTTCAGTTTCTTTATCAATAAGAATAACTAATAATAGAGGTCTTTCTCACAAAGATGATTCAAAGAAGAAATCATCTTCAAACAACAGCAATAAGACTTTGAGATCTTATATATTTTTTTAAATACCACTGCAGTCAATACTTGACTAAACCCATCGATGCAGAGGAATCACTCTTAAATGGAAAATGGAAAATCCCAGATAACCATCCCATCTGATCTTGGGTTGGATATCTGAGGAACTGATTCCCTTGTAAGAAGCAAGAAATGGCTCCAGATCTGCATAACCAAGAGCCAACTAGAGAAATTTGAAGAGTGGTAACCAGCCAAAGCAATGCTACAATGACTCATTCATTCACCCATCCATTCCACAAATATATATTGAGTGGCTTCTTTTTACTAGAACTGAATGCCCCTCTGGCTTTCCTGTGGGTTCAAGAATAACGCTGGGCTAAGCCCAGGCACTATACAGTGGGCCTTATGCCAGAGAGCCATCTCCAGCCCATGGCCTGATGCTCAACACAAGAAGGGACCGTGGAAAAGGGCAGTCTGAAAATCCTCTTCAAGCTTTGTACCATGATGACATCTACCTTCCGATTGATAGTCTTTCCATTCCCTCCAGATGCCTCTGAGCACAGACGCACATAAGTGTGTGAACACACACATACACAGAAAGGTTCTACATTGCTGTTTTAGATTATACCTCTTTAAATATGTTCTTATGTATAATATAAAATCTCTCTATCTAGTTCTCAAGCTTTTCATTAGGCTGCAATAAACAGTTTCAATCCCTAGGAAGAAATCAACTGTAAACCCATTTGTGGCCGGTCCTCCTCGTAAGCTCCTGCCAAGCTGGTAGGAAGCTTCCCGGTGACTCCATCTTAGTTGGATTGCCTGCAGAGCCTAATACTGTACTTAGGGCACAGCTTAAGGGGGACCTCTACAGCAGCTGAGCAGGGTCTGGAGGGCAGGGAGTATTCTGAAGAAGGGTACTATAGCCCTAAATAGAGAGAACGCTTAAAAATACCCACGGTGCACGCACGCACGCGCGCACGCACACGCACACACACGCACACACACACACATACATAAATATAGGTACATAGCAAAAGTAAAACAAGAGCATAGTCATTTATTTATAATCTAACACCAAACTACTACCACCAAGATAAAAATACAGTGGCATTTCCCTTCCACCCTGTCCTTCTGCCCCAACCTCATCAAACCCTTGGAAGCTTCTGCTACCCTACCCCACCCCTTCTCTCCGTAATGCAGGCTGCCTTGGATACTCATTTTGACCTGATTTCAATTCCATCTGGCCAGACATGCTGGGAGGAGGGGAGGGGAGAAGGAGAAGCACATTAGGATTTGCCACTGGGGCTAGACCTAAGCCCTTTAGTCCTAGCCACCCTCCCGCTCCCCAGAGTGACCCTGTGGGGAGGAAGAAATGGAAAGCTCCAACTCAAATCCTGAGACAGAAATCAGAGCTGCCTGCAAACATTTTCTGAGCATCTAGTCTTCCAGTCTCCATCCATTTGCGGCTTCCATTGAGGGACCCTGGAAAGCTCTGCAGTGGCTTCAGGGTAGCTATTAATTCCTCTAAATATGTGAGGCTATTCCTCCCAGCCTCACTCCTAACAGGGAGTCCCTCTTGTCTCTTTTCTCTAAGCTCCTTCCTTTCTTGACCTTGAGAGTTCAGTATTGTGCTCCCTCCCATTACTGGCAGTCTGGCAAAGGCTTCCAGAAGCAGGTTCCCTTCAGCTGGGGTGGAGAAAGGAAGAGGCAAAGTGACAGGGGGAGAGGCGAGAGACGGAAAGTGCTGGAAACATCCCTTGCCATCTCCTAGTACTCCACAGCTTAAGAGCAAGTCCTCATCACACCCAACTGGGGAAATCAGCCCAGCCCCCAGGTTGCAGAGGAGATGTTTTGGCCAGTCACCTTCGGTGATAGCAACTCTGCAGATGGGAAAACCTGCAGAGGGCCTGGCCCTAGGCATCTACGGGAGATAAGGTGGGGATTATGGACTGCTTTGCAAGAGAGAAAAGCAGACTTTGTAGATTTCCTAGATTAGCCTACACACGAAACAAAATAAAATATATATATATATATCCAGCTCTCTTCTCTTGAGAGGAGGGGAAGAAGCAGGAGCCCAGTGACCTTTATTTGGGCCAACACGGCTTTGTCTTAAGATCCCCATACATACCCAGGTGACTAGAGGAATACTATCAAGCTCTCCACCTGGGATGAGGAATACCTAGCCAGCTCCTATTAATTTTTTGTTTTA